TCGTCATGGATGGTACGAAAGTTATATGGAAAACAACTCGCAGGGAAGGAGGTAACCATAACTTGCGTCTTCTTCAGCTAGCTCCAGCTCCAGTTCCAGCCCCAGAACCGAGCGATGAAAACACCCCTACAACCCTACTAGCTAGGACCCATGAAACTAGCAGCGACCGGGGCGTTCGGGTTGGGTGAACCGACGCCAGAGGCGCCATCGTCCTGGTTCTGGTCCTTAGTCATCGAGCCATTGAGCAATGGGCAGAGCCTAGAGGGTCGGGAGGTTAGAAGACTGAAAATCAATGGGAAAAGACGTGCGGACGCGGACAACTTACTTCTTGTTCGTCTTGATGTGACCCTTGGCTCCACAATTTGCGCATCTGCGAGTGGTTCCGGTGGCCTTCTCGATTGAGGGCTCTAACGACCCGTCGTCGTTATCGAGGGGTAGAGTTCCTCCACTCTTGAGCCGCTGTTGCAGTTGTTTCTGCCTCTCACGCTTCATTGTTCTCATCTTGTTCTTCATAAGACGGTCATGTTCCTTGTCGAGCCTAGAAGAATGTGTCAGTGTGCGGCGTTTCAAGTAGGGTAGGTGAGGATGACGTACAGTTCAAGAATAACAGCGTCTCGTTCTTGATCTCCGGTAAGCTTGACATTGTAGATACTGCGAATCAAGTCAGTCACTAGTTTCTCTTCGAATGTTGAGGGGGGTACTTACTCAATCTCGGACTTTTGCTCTTGGCGACGCCTCTTGACGTACTGAGCAATGACAGCAGGATCCCTTACTACCTCCGTCACAGTCCGCGTTTGACCGCTTTCATCCCTCACCTCCCTCGTAATCATGAGCTTCTTCTTTTGGTTAAGAGCACTGGTAGCGCTCTGGCTGATCTGACTGAAACCGTCCTGGACCATAGGAGTTTGTGCAGCCTGGCTCCCTTGTACGTTGAAACGCTCGTCTTCATCCTCTTGTTCTTGCACATCTTCATCGTCATGTTCCTGGGAATCCAAAAGGCTCTCCCGCTGGCGGTTCCAAATATCGGTGAGAGCCTCCGTGTAGAGTGTGTCCTGGTTCTTGACATTGTACATGTGCCCACCATTCGCTTTGCGCTGTCTCTCGATGGCATCAGCTGATGTAGCCATTGGCCCTTGGAGCTGCTCAAGGTAACCGCCTTTCATGGACGTCCGTAAGAAACTAATGCCCAGTCCCTTGCCTGTTGGGTCGCCGGCACCATGAACTGCAAGCATAGCCTTGCCATGACTGGCATCAAGGAATGCCTTGGTAGTCTTCCAAGGCGCCATCTTGTTTGCAAGGGCATCTGGAGAGAGCTCATCGTCCACATCAACAATGTCATCGTCTTTGAGGGAATCGGTAGTATCGTATCCGCCCTTCTCGATCTCGTGGATGCCTACTTGCATCGCGTCCAACAAACAGACCTCTTCGGGCCTAACGAGAGATCGAATTGCCGGTTCGGTCATTAGCTCTTCGCCTTCAGGCAGCGCCCAATCTTTTGTTTCCTTTCTGAAGCGCAGGAACTCCTTCAACTTTTGACGATTCTGAGACTCATTGGACTCAGCTACGTGCTTGGTAATATCATGGAGGGTAACATGCTCGCTCTTGCGAAGCAAGCGATACGAGACCATTTTGAGACGATTCTTGGCGATGTTAGTGACACGTCGAGAATGGGGCCCTGGGACCTCCATGGAAGGCAGCGTTTGGCCGACAACGTAAAGATGATCGATATTTCTGATGTACCAAGTTGAGCCCTTTTGGCCGGTACTGCTACGGCCAATCAGAAAGTCTGTATTCCTGGGGTTATGCTTGAAAATAGGGGCGCGGAACATGTGGTTGTGAAGCGTAGGCACGACCTCGCCAGGGTGGACGTGGCCGAAGATGGCGAAGGGTGAACGATCTTCTGGCATCAATATACATGTTTCGCCAAGTTCACGCTTCTCAGGTCTGTTATCAGCGCCTTTGGCTCGACGGAAGTAATTGATAATCTTCTGTCCCATGCCAAAGTTGGAGAGGACGGTGGGAATTTCCTCGCAGTACTCGAAAAGGATAGCAGTTGAGTTGTCGTTGAGGGAGAGATCATGAGTGCTCTTGAATATCTCGCTGACGCGTTTACCCTTGAGAGTCTTACGCTTGATAATGGCAGGCTTGTCAAACCTGATGTGACCATGGAGATCCCTCTTGGGGTGGAGCTGAGGCCGGTGATAACTATGAGGGTCACTTGCCGCGAGCTTAACGCGGTAGTAAGGCCAAGATAGTCTCTGTGCAGGCAAACTGTGCTCGACAGGAATAGTAGCCAGGGTTGCCCGGACCCTGTTTTGGCTGTTCTCCTTCAACGCGTCATAGGCAGCGTCAGAGGAGAAGTTGAATCGTTGCGCAAGATCCCGCCCAGCTTTCCCGTTCGCCAAGCGGACCGTCTTATGCTGGGTCTTTCGCCGCTTAGATGACCGTTCAGATTCAACGTCGTCTATCAGCAAGTAGGGGTCGTTCATGTCAAGGATGACACGCTTGCCCAGCTTCGAAGTAACTTGCTCGAACTCGTCCAGGTTCGGCGCCGTAAAGTGAGCAATAGGAGGAAGACCTTTCGGAATCTCGATCTTTCTTCGCTTTGGAGCAGGCTCATCAAGGAACATGGCATCCCAGTCCGCCTCTTCATCAGGCTCATCCTTAATGAGCATGTTGTCAGGTTTCGGCTGCGGTCCCGGTTCTATGGCGGCCGCAAAACTGTCGCCCAAGACGATCATCTGCTCCCAGTCCTGACATATCGTAGCTATGTCCTGAAGGGTGTATCCACCTATCCTCTCCGAATCCGTTTCGTCGTCCAAGCTGAATACTTCCAGATCGGTTTGTTCCAAAGGCTCCGGCTCTTCGAGGCAGAACAGACCTCGCGCCTCCGCTTCCTTGATCCTTTGCCAAACCGAGCCAGTGGCAGGGCCAGGAATCCGGAACTGCTTCTCCTGATCTGCATCCAACTCCAGGCTGAGTTTTGATGGTATCAAAGGCTTGGGGGCCCTGGGGGGCTTCTTCGAGATCCATGTGGCATTCTTGGGCTTTAATATTTCATTCCAATGCAGGATGGCGTTTTCCTCAAAACCGGGGAAGAGTTGCTTAACGGCGTCGATGAGGGTTTCCGCTGGCGGGGGGATGTCGGGATCTTGGTTTGTCGCATCTGGCTCCTCGTCATTGTCAAAGTTGAGGTTTCGGAGGTCTTCAAGGGACTCCCCGGCGGCATCATCCGGACGTTTTTTGGCATCGACATCGACATCGCCATCGGCGTCGAGCGGCGGTGGAGAGGATCGGAGACCATCGTGAGCCGTGTCCATGGGCGATGAGGGGTCGCCGCCAAAGAGGTCGTCGTCATCATTAGTGCCAGCGTCGTCGATGAGGCTCGGCAGCTCGCCACTTGTCCCGGAAGTGCTCGGTTCGTCGTTGGGTAAGTCGTCGTCGTCGCTCAAGTCGATATCCTCAAAGTCGATGGCATCATCTGCCTTGCCTCGTTGATCGATCTCGCCTCCCGACTGGAGGTTCCCCAGCATCTCCGTCAGGCCATCGTTGCCACCCGGGCCGAAGCTGTTGTTGATCTGGCGAATGGCCTCCTCATCGCGGGCTTCCTGTTCCTTCCATCCTTCCTCATTGAGGGCGTTGAAATCAAAGTCGTCGTTGTCTGCGGGCATCTTGCCGGGCGGAGAGGCAAAGCCGCCTCGGGGCTGTGTGTCGTCGTCTGTCGCGCAGTCGTCCGCCCCTCTCTCACTTGCTCCCTCCAACGGTTGCGCGGCCGGTTAAGCTGTCAGATCATGATACTGGAGCGGAGAAGTCGTCGAGAATGCCCGCGGCGGGGGAGCAAACTGGGCCAGGCGCGTTCTTCGATGGTGGGCTGTTGGCAACGCCGCGTGCAAAGTGGTTGTCGTGGTTGTGGTAGAGTCGGATTGACCGTCGGGTGAGTCGAGGTTGACTGTTGACGTTGACGTTGCAGCGGTGGTTGCGGAAGTAGTGAAAGTGTCGAACCTCCCACAAGCATGGAAGCCACTGTCACTGCGCGGAGAGCAAGCGAAGTGTCGAATGCTTGAATGCGAACAATCGGCCTGTCGGGGCCACTGCGCGGTAGGTGGCACGCGCTGTCGGCTAAGTGGGTCTGTTGACCGGGGTCCGGCTGGGACAGCCTGGCGAGTTGGCCCTCAGTGACTGGGGGCGCTAGGTGCAGTAAATGGTATGTGCACCAGTAACTGGCCAACTGTAATAGCACTTCAGGTTTCAAGCTTCGATGCGGAATCTGGAAGGAACAACACCTCCAACTCTGCTTGACTGCATGTTAGATTGAACATACATTGAATGTATATGGAAGCTCCCCGCCCCGTTTATAAATGAGCTTCAAGGCAGGCACAGAAGGAATGGGGTCAGCTTGCTATTGCAGCAGACAACCGAGAGGGACATCAAGCAACAATCTCTTGCAAAACGGAGGAAATATACGAATGACGAGCAGGTCTCGGGGTTCAAATGGTCACGGCATCACTCGGAGGGGCAGCACACGCTTGAACTGATCCGGGTGCGAGGATGTAATTCCCTATCTCATCGATTTTAACCTATCTTCAGCGGCTACTATACTCGTACGCCTAGATTATTGCTTCATTCGTTCGGGACTGAGATCTTGGATTTTCCTCTGCGAACTAGCGGTGCCGGCATCGTGTAAAGCTGAGCCCAGCAGCCATGGTGGCCTTAATGTTGGTTTTTGGGAAGGTGTGTTAAACCCACAGCCAAACTCTTGGCTGGCCATGTTGAGAAGTCATTACTGTCCAAAATGGCAACCAAAGCTCCTTTACATTCAATGACTGAATTGCATGGATGAATGTAACGAATCAACAAATATTGTGGGCCACGGAGTCCTACATCAACTTCATCCGGCTATATATAATCGTGATCTACCTACATCATTGCCTTTTCACAACCTACCACAGCCTTACACCCAGTAACACTACGTAGGTGAAGATACCAACACTTATCTCATCATGGCAGAAACCATCAAGGCAGAACCCGTCATGGACCAGTTGAAGCAAAAGCAAGAAGCTCTAAGGGCGAGGTTTGTCGGCAAGCAGCTGTCCGAGGTCCCTACGCCCAGCGTCATCCTTGACCTTAGACAGGTCGCGGTGAACTGTGCGCGCATGCTGGAAGCAGCCGACAACCTCGGCTTGCAATGGCGAGCTCATATCAAGACTCACAAGGTAAAACAAGTCCTCAACCTTCACACGAAGAAGGTGAAGATGGCTAACAATAACGAACGAGACATAGACCACTGAGCTCACCCGCCTCCAAGTCGGCGACGACCTTGACACTCCCGTCCTCCTGATCGTCTCCACCATCATCGAGGCCGAGAACATCACACCCCTTCTCAAGGAATACAAATCAAAAGACCGCGCCGTCAACGTCCTCTTCTCCTTCCCGCTATTCGCCTCCGCTGTTTCCCGTCTCGCCGCCGTCTCTTCTCAGCTCGGGCCTGATGGCTTGTCGGTTATGATCGATCACGTCGATCAGCTCCCCTATGTCAAGGCCATTCACGAGCTCTCAGGTCACGCTCCTCGCGTCTTCATCAAGATCGATGTCAACAGCGGCCGAGCCGGCGTCAAGACCGATTCTCCCGAGTATCCAGCCTTAATCGACGCTCTGCTGGCTGCCGAGCAGGAAGGATGGCTGGTGCTCCATGGCGTGTACACCCATGCGGGCCAGAGCTACGGGGCTCGCAGGCTAGGGGATGCCATGCGTGCTCTGTCCGATGAGTTCCTTCACGCCCATACTGCTGCCACGAAAATTCGTGAGAAGAGTCCGGACCATGCTCGTCTGGTGCTGTCGGCGGGTGCGACGCCTACGGCGACAACGATCCAAAGCCCGTTGTTTCTGGAGGAGTGGGATGTACCCACGGGATACCCGGGGGGGATCTTCAGGCCCTTTGAGGAGGTGCTTATGGAGAAATGGGCTGTTTGGCAGAATGATGGATATATTCTTGAGGTTCATGCTGGTGTTTAGTAAGTCTTTGTCCTCACCCCTCCCTGTCCGCTGGCCGGTTCCCTTCGTCCCCAACATGATGTGACCTTCTTTGCTGTCCTAACTCGAAATTTTACAGCCCAACCCTCGATCTTCAACAAGTCGCAACTCACGCACGGCACACTGGCCTTCTTTCCGAACAGGATATCGGCATCAGCGTAATCGCCGAAGTCGCCTCTGGTACGCAAAATCCTTCTCGTGATTTTCGCAAAATCGCAGTAAAACTAACATTCCTCAAAACAGTCTACCCGACCCGTGGCAAAGACGGCACTCCCGAAGCCCTTATCAACGCCGGTTCCCTGGCCCTCGGCCGCGAGCCCGTAAGTCTAGACACGAGTACCTACCCCGACAATACTAAGGCCAAGCCCTACACTGGCTGGGGCGCCTTGATGCCCTGGGGCGTTCTAGCAGGAACGGAACAAAAGGACAGTAGCGGTAAGATTCTCGGCGAAAAATTCCCTGATGACTTTAGGGGTTGGCAGGTCGGCAAGATTAGTCAGGAGCACGGCATCCTGACTTGGGTAGGGGACGAGGGGAAGAAGGCACCCGAACTCAAAGTAGGTGATAGGGTGAGGGTGTGGCCGAACCATGCTTGTATAATGGGCGCCGGTTTCGAGTATTATTTGATCGTGGACTCGAGATACCCGGAGCAATACGAGGATAAGGTTCTCGATGTTTGGTGTAGATGGAATGGGTGGTGATCACGAACGGGGTAGACATTATGAAAGGGTTCAGGAGTGAGGGATAAGAAAAGAAGCATCGCCACTCAACTTCAACATGCTTATTTTTGTTCTAGCCTCACGCATACAATAGACAATACCGGCGATACAGGCTTTCGTTGGTATATGTAGCTGTCTTGTGCTAAAAGCAGTGAAACCCCGTTTCTTCAAAACGCCTCAGCGCCATATCGTGCGACCATAACATACACCTGCCTAATAATCAGCAACGTAAAACACCATGCCCATCTTTTATGACTACCACAATCCACCCCATCCCAGAATCCATAAACATGTGAACACTTGGGCATTACCCGTTATGGTCTTACTCGCCACCTGACGCTTTGTAGCCTCCCATCACTTCCAGAGCGCGGCGTGCGAGGGGTTCTTATTGGCGATCAACGAAGCCAAATCCCTATTTGCAACGCTTCTCGACAATACCGGCGCCGTTCTCGTCATACTCCTTCCGCGAAATCCACATCTGGTGGAAGGTTCCGAGACTAGCGAGAATACTTCCTCCAATCCAGGCGCCGAAGCGTCTCTCGGTCGTCAAGCCCGCCGCATGGATCTTGATCTTCACGCCGGGGTACATCTGCGCGAGTTCGTGATTGAGACGGTCGTTGAAACCGTTCAACAAACTTGTGCTACCCGTGACAACAACGTTGCCGAGAATGTTGGGGCGGAGATCAACATCGACACCCTCGAGGGCCGCCTTGATGAGAGCCGGGATCGTCTGAGCCTTAGTCACGCGTCCCTCCTCGTCAGTGCTGTTGTAGGCAGCCGTCTCGTCCCACATGCCCTCCGACACCTTGAAGCGCTGCTCACGCCACATCTGATTGCTACCGTCGGGCATTTCGAAGACACGGCCGGGTTGTGAACGGACAGCATCTTCGGTTCCGGGGGTTGTGAACCGCTGGGGGCCGCGCCACACCTCGACGACAGACTCCTTGAACTCGGTAAGAACACGCTCCTCCTCGTAAGCGCGGAAGGACGGGTGGATGTCGAAGTTGAACTTTCGCAGGTTGGCTTCGGCGGGGGCACCAGCCTCCACGGGCTTCTTGCTCTCAACCATGAACCGCGGCACAACGTCGACTCTGGGCTCGCTGCCGTCCCACATCTTGCGGATTTGGCCGCTCAGCCAGACACCGCCAACCGGAGACCGCTGAATCGATCGCTTGAGGACCATGCCGTCGTGGATGGCTGTGACACTCGTGTTGGCGCCGCCCATGTCTATTACCAAAGCCGTCGCCTTTCCGGCCGCAAACGCCGCGAGCACAGGTGTCTTGCTGAGCCAGAACGCGGGCACACCCCAGGTCTCCATGCTGATTTCGATGGCCTTCTCGCGTGCCTTGGGCGAGTTCCACGGCGCCTCGGTCATGAGAAGAGGGTTCTCCGCCAGCGGCTTCTCGAGCGCATCCATAGTATCTTCGTTGTCCTCCATGGCCACATCACCATCGTCGCTAATGTTGAGACCGTTTTTGCTGGGAGGTGTTGATCGCTCGGGCTGCAGACGCTTGACGAGAACGTGTTCCCACATCCTGGTGGCAGCATCCCAATCTTCGACGACGCTGTCGCGGTTCATGTAGTTGCGCACTTCGAAACCCGGTTTTGGCACAATATACTCATCGCCGAATACGTCGCGCCCGTTGATGTGGCCGTAGAAAGAAGGGAGAACTTGCTTGGGCATTTCCTCGCCAGCATAGCCGGCGCGGGTGTTGATGTAGCCCGGATCGAGGACAAGCGCGGATACCTCATCTACAGAAATGACCAGTTGTTAATTGGAATCATCCATGTTGGTGAAATGTCGCTGGTTAGAGGCGCATGGACTAAGCTTACCTCCGCCGTAGATGTCAGTCGGCTGGACCGACGACGAGAGAGGTTGTTGGTGGGACATGGTGGGCGCCCAAAGGTGTATAATCGAGTGTTACTGAGGGATATTATGACAAGGCAAGATGGATGTGAGCTGGTGTTTCAAGCCAAACAACGCTGCGCGTCTGGTAGTTTGGTCTTGTCGCGTTTTGTTGGAGTTCGATGAACCGAAAATCAATTGGAATTTGACGACGAAGCTCCAGAGACGAGGGGGCGCGCACGCGCAGTGGAAGAAGATGGCTCTCCTGCAGCTCTATAAAAAGTGGGCCGCGGTACGTACCTCTACGGTTAAAGAACACCAGGAATCAGAAATAGTGATCCAACGAGCTGGACAATAACTCTTGAATCATTGCATGAGGTTTAGAAAGCATGTAAACCGGTCTTGGTAAGCTAAACCCTCAAATGATGTCGTTGCCCCGTTATTGTTGCTTTAGAGGTCGTGATATTCAACACCAAACTGAACAACAACTTCCATGCGAACGATGTCCAACCGCCTCCATGCCGGAAGCTTCACCTAGAACAATGTGCCACCACCAAAAGAACAAATGGGTATCATATGTCGCATGATTAAGCAAAAAAAAGCAGCTGTACGATGGATAACAGGACAGACATCAGGCCTCCCATACCATCTCGGGACTTTCATAACCTGTCTTTAGCCCCATCGACCGACTCTTGAGCCATCCAACCCGTTCCCACCAGTATGCAACACATCCTCCTCCTCCTCACTCTCCGCCCCTTTCTCCCTCCCCTCGCCATACAAAACCTCACAAACTCCCGCCAGCGGCACATCCATCACCGCATCCGTCCCCTCATTCCACACTCCCTCCAATTTAGTCCTCCCCCCGGCAACAATACCTCCCTATCCGTCGACCCATGCCTCCCATGTCCATGTCCATAATGTCCATGCTGTCTCCGTTGTTCCACCTTCTTATCATGCCTGATGATATGTCCCCTCGAATCCACCACCGCCATCATCGCCGCCTCATCCACAATCGTCTCGATGCTTCCCAGCGGCAGCGTCAAGTACTCGGTATTATACGCCGCCAGCGCGACATAGATATACACCAGCGTCATTGTCAAGAAACTCGGGATGGCCAGCGACCACCACCGGTTGGGGTAGTAATAGATCCCCAAGGCGTGCAGGAACGGCGAAGGCAGGTACGCCCACAGCAGGTAAATCAGAAACGACAGGCTGCTGAAGAGGTAAAGCACGAAACCGTAGTACTCGTACGTCGGCACGCGCGGGCTGGCGCGCGGGAGGGGCTCACCGCTGCCCTCGGGACCGCCGCCGCCGTTGGCTACCGTCTCGTCGTCTGAGGCGTCTGGGGTCGTGGGACGCGAGGGGCGCAGGAGGGATGTTAAAGAGGGGGAGGGCGGGAGAGGGGTCGGTGGCCGGCCGTAGAAGGGTGGGGCGAATGTGTGTTGCGAGACGGGTGGTGGAGGCGCGAGGTGCTCGTCGTCGTCTGAGACATCGTCCGAGATGTCATCCTCGTCGTCGTAAGAGTCTTCTCCGGATATCGAGCCATCGTCGTGGTGGTCTTCTTCAGAGGGGTGTGACAGAAGTGTCCCGTCCTCCTCTTCTTCTTCCGATGTTATGGGCATTGTCGCGACATTCGTCTTTATGAGTTTAGTTGGAGCAGAGGTTGTCCGACTTGTACCGTGAACTGGCGCAATGATAAGAGAAGATGTGATGTTGGATGTTGGATGTAGGTAGTCGTTAACCTGGAATTCTGGTGTTGTAGAAGTTGCAAGTGTCATGAACGCCCCGATAGTCGGCAGTTGCCCCTTACACTTGATAGCGGAAGCTACCTCTATAGGGATAAGTGCGCTGCACTACAGCGGGTGTAGCCCAAAGTTTTGCAGGGGAAACGGCGACCCATAGTAGTTGCCAGGCCAACCCCGTCTTTGTTTACGTAGAACAAACAGCTGTGAGGTGTTCAAATGACTTCCAGGTACCTAGACACTGCAAACTGACCTTGTTGCATCTCGACGAAGCATTAGACACCTAAGAATGGAATATCGGCTCTGATCACAGCTAGTTTCAAAACCTTCGATCATCTGCTGGTGCCCCTTAATTTTCAAATACTGTAACGCTTCTGCATACAAAAATTGCAATTCCTTTTTAGACAATTCATAAATCCCTATCCCAGTCCTATCTGTCAATAGGGCACCTATACTGCCTCTTCACCCCCAACCCACCACCATTAGCAGGCGCACCCCCATTCTTCATCTGAAGAGCATCCAAACACGCTTGATGGTAAACGTGCCTACAAGCAAGCACAACAAGAGGGCTAAGCTTCTGTTCCCGCTTCCCCGCCATCGGTCCTTGCATGCCTTCTTGTCCAGAAGTATTTGCCTGTTGGTTTTCGTCGTGCTGGCCAAGTCGGGGGCTGCTCACATCCTTCCCCTTGCCTTTCCCCTTTCCATGTCCATGCCCATTCCCATTCCCACAATACTCTTCCCCACCAGTTGGACCGTCCGTCCCTTCAGCAGCAGCGTGACCCGACGCATTATTCCCTCCACCCATTGTGATCTGTTTCCGCGCCTGCCTCTGACTCTCCTCAACCGCCTGCCTTTCTTCCCACGCCTCGTAGACATTCCCCGCTACGCCAGGCCCCCATACCCTTCGACCGCATGCTTCACAAGTAGACCCTTTGGGACGCCACCCTCGCTGGCGAAGTTGGACGGCTTGATTTACGCTCACAAAGAGACTGCGTTCCAGAAGCCGGTTGGAGAGACCCAAGATAGACTCCTCGTATGCGTATGCGGCGAAGATGCTGGAGAGAACTGAACGGAGGTCTGCGAGGTTGGGTGACGATGCCGCGGCCCGGGTGAGGAATGCGCGCAGGATGCGGAGGAAAGAGAGATTGGTGTTTATGTTCACTGTAGGTGGAGGTTGTGCATCACCACCGACTTTTGTGTTTGTAGATCGGGAGGTACGGGTTGAGGTGGATAAGAGGAGGGTTGTGAACGTATTTTGTACGAGTGATCGGACCATGGTGACGAGCTTCTCTGTGTCTAATGCCGCAACGACGGATTCACCGTTGTGGTGGGATCCTCTGCCATTCGTAAGCTGTCCTTGTGTTGAATCTTCTGGTGGTGATGGTGACTGCAACGCTGCGGTAACTCGCTTGGTGATCTGTACGCAGCTCTCAATCAAGCTGAGCCAAAGCTGCTCGTCGGGTGAGAGATCGTCTTTGGAATGTGATCCGTGTCGTTGACGCGCATGACCACTCTCTTGGGTGGCTTTGGTTTGTTCTTGACATAGCCAAATACCCACCCGCGTGTAGTTTTGCAACGCGTGCATGAGTCCCTCGGCATTTTCTTGAGGGTTGAGGTCCGCTTGCGCCTGAGAGGCGGTTCCGGTCAATAGGCCATGTAAGGCTGACTCAAGAGTCTCCAAGTGTCTTGTCAGTCGCTCCATGGCCTCCTTCACTTGCCCTTCTTTCGCCATCAATATGACGGCAGCGTCAATCACACCCGTTTCTTCCATCGTAGGCAGTAACTTCTCCAGCCTCAGGTTCGTAGCTTGGACCTTGTTCACGTACTCTGGTACATGTGATGGTTCAAAGCGGCACATGAGCTGCAAATACTGCTCCACCAGATCCTGCTGAGGTGGATGAAAGTTCACCACCTCTTTTCTGGGCTCCAATATCGTCTTCAGATAAGTATATTGAAGGTGCGACTGCTCTGAAACGGAACCAAGGATATGGTTGTGCAACTCTGGAGCATAAGTCTCAATTGCTTGCGCCGCTCTGGCAGAGCCAATCTCAACTAGTTTACCAGCGTAGTCCTTGATGACTTGGTGCACATCCTGTACCTGACGGCGAGTAAGACCTGAGTGTGGTCGAAGGCAGAGCTCGATGCAATCAAAGATCGCATCGCGCTCGTTCGGATCCTCGAAGTAGGTCAAAGTCAGTTTCCCATACTGTTTGTCTGCTTTGTATATACGCTTCAGTATCCGATAGAATCCAGCCTCCTTGAACCGAGGAATCAAGTCGGGCAGATCTGGGGGATGATAAACTGAAAGTAGATATTCGGCGCTGAGTTGGGCGTCCTCGGCAAGGTCATCCCCTGGATATTGACATAGTCCAGTGAGGACCTTGGTAAGTGTCGATCCTGTGAAGAGAAGGTATTGCGGATATTTGGGAAGGTTTCTGGCGACAAACATATCGAGATAGATAGTGTCCTCCTTGGCAAAGTCTGCCGGATTCATTATCTCCATTAAGATGGAGGTAATGTACTGCCTGTCTACCGTAAGTCCAAATATCTCTTCCTCTGGAAGATCACGACTTGGGCCACCGGCCAGCTGCTTTTCGGGTGAATCGTTCAAGAAGGAGTCTTCAAATGCCTCGTTGAGCACACTCAGGAAGCTGGGTGCATCAAAGTTGAGGATCATCCTCAAGTAGGGGAAAGATGGCTCTTGAGACTGTGCTGGTCGCGTAAGCAGCCTCTTACTGCTGCCCTTAGGCCAGGAGATACTTTTGCCCGAAAAGAGAAACCAATAAATCTCTGCCTTGGCCTTTTGAGCTATAGCATCGGGAATCTTCTCTCCCATGGGATAGGTCTTTCCGGTAAGGATGAACGACAGATATGGAAAGATCTTCAGTGCGTTTGTCTCTCTGATCTCGTTCTCCAACACGCTTGCCGTTCCATCCGCATCCCCATTCTGCATCAACGGTACCAACAAGGCCAGCAAGTCGATGAATGGGGTCAGATAATCGTTTAGGGCCTGGTTCCACACGTATATCAACGCGTCATACAGGCTGTGCTTTTTGCAGAGCATCGTTACTTGATCAAGATCTAGGGTTGAAGTGTCCATGTGGCAAATGATGTCTTCGAGCCTGGTTTCGAGTCCGTTGCTGACGAAGTGAGTAACCAAGGCTTTGACAACAGCGGGCGGGATGGCTGTGATCAATCCATCGATGATATATGGCTCGAGGGTTTCAAGGAAGATGCCTTCCAGACCAGCATCTTCATACCATTCGTACATCTCATCGAAAAGAAAGTCGGTCTTTCCGGTATTATGAGAAGCTATGAAGCAGGTCTCTGCTAGTTCCCGAAGGTGTTGATCGTCTCCCGGTTCTCGGCGTTTTGTTCTCTGCCCAAATGCGTATTTGAGAGATGCGCTCATGATTTCCATGAGTTTATCAATAACCATGGATTGTCTTAGAGCCGTATCCTCCGGTAAACCAATAGTCAACTTGTTGGCATCCCCTGTGTAGTAAGATGTCGCAAGTCGAATGGCACCGACATAATCACCGCTTTCCATCAATGCGAACAGCCGATCCGCCCAGTTGGATAAGGCGCCTAAAGAGACCTCGTTGAATCCAAGCAGAAAGAGCCGGCCTTTGTAAGCCTTGAAGCTCATGTAGAAGGCATCAGCAACAACGCCATGCATGGTGGGATCTTCATCGTCAAGCTGCTCTACTAGAGTGTGAAGTTGCTTGGAGAAGATATCCACATGGTAGATGTGCTTGTGTATAAGGTCGAATGCTTCGGTCATGCGCATGGTTCGATCCTCCAGCACAATGAGCCTTTGAGTGATGGTGAGAACTGTCAACACAGACCGGCTCAACCACTGTACAGCAACGATCGGCTCTTCACACTTCCACCGGTTTCGGGGTCTGAATCTGAGGGTTGGCGGTTTATCCTTGTTTTCTGCTGGCTCCTCCTCTACCTCAAGGACCGTAAGAACGTTTGACCAACAGTAGACGAGCTTGACCTTGGAAACGTTGTTACCAGTAACGGGATCTGGCACCTTCAATCTTACTGCGGGAAACCAAGCGAGACATCCTGTCATGGCACTGTGTGCGGTCACTTCCTTTGGACGCGCAGACTTATGTTGTGTTTGAGCGACAGGCGTAGTAGAGACGATGACTAGCAAGTATGGGGTGAGCATGGCTGTCAGCCCCATAGAGTCCGTGGCCATCTCAACATTTCCCAGAGGCAGAGACTGAAAGGCAAGCACAGTACTGGGCTTGAGTGTCTTCCCAACAGGCACTGGAGCGTCTGGGTACCGGCCGAGAATTCGCGTAGTCTTGACAGTCCTGCCAAATGATCCAGTACCCCGGGTAGCAAGGTGAGAGAAGGCCATCCCTCGGTCATCAGCAGACACTAGGGCTGTATGTCGGGTCCCCAGAAAGCCCAGATGCGTTATCTTGGTGTCAGGGACATGTCCGTCAGTTGATCTCTGCTGAAGCTGGGGTAGGTGTGGAATACTGAGAAACGGTCGTGAAGGACGAGTGGTATCCCATGTAAAGATATTTCCATTGGCATGTCCGCCTGCGATTGTCGTGTGGTCCGCCGAAATTGCGAGAGATGTCACGGCCCCTGATTCAACAGCTGTGTAACTGGTCAATAACAGCAACAAACAAGGTGCGGAGATAGAGAGAAAAGACAAACCTTTTGTTCCCGGCCCAATTATCATCTTCAGATTCTGATTAAAGTCGAACACTAGGATAACTCCTTTTGACGTTCCCAGCACGATCGAGGCAGAAACGGCTAGGCACGTGGGAGAGCCAAAGTTCCTCCTCCCCGATTCGGAGAATGCTAGCCCATCCAATTTCACCAACTTTGTCCAGCGCACAACTTCCCAAGGAGGAGAGCTTGTTTCGGTTTCACTGGAGTCGAGTAGCAAGTTGCTCGTTACGGACAGGGTCCTGCTATGGCCCGCAAGAAACGCTGGAGAAGACGGCCGTGGTGAGAGTGTACCAGGGGAGCCAAAGGAGGAGAACCTCCGATCAAACGGCCGGAAAGAGGGCGTCGGGCCTCTTAACCCGGGACGGAGTGCCAAAGAAGGGAGGATGTTGCTGCTACCCGGCGACGAAACGACAGAGCCCTGTATATTTGCGCCATTAGTCAGAGACCTCCAGCACGAGAACAGACATCACTAACTTGTACGGAAGGAGAGTCTCCAGAGAGTGTAGGAAAGGACTCGAGAGGGCTCGTGGCTGAGCGCAGCACTCCATCTGTAGAACCATCTTCTGAGGTTGTCGCATCCCCTTGTTCGGCTTCGACCGGCTCGCGGTAACGGTTCGCTATGGCGCTCGGCGCAACCGGAGTGGGCGCAGGCATTGGGGATGCCGCTGGTGGCTGCTCTTCCACTTCCTCTCCATCTTGACCTGTTATGGTGGCCTGGTCGTCCTCCTTATTCTCTCGTGCAGTCTCGTCGCCGCTCAAGCTCTGGTTGTCGGTTGGACCTAGATCTAGTTCGTCGGCCATCATTTCGTCCACTGACCCCTCCTCATCCCGCCGCGGTATGTTCACGCTCATCGAGGATAGCCAGAGCAGCACATGTTTTCAGTACAGTCGGTGTATTTCGTCCAAAGGGTGTGCGACCTCTGCCCTCGTGGTGATCGTGTACGTAGTGTGTTCCGATGTCGTCCCAACTTGGTGGCGCTCCCGTAGTAGTTGTTGGTGGTAGCTCCCGTCTTCCGGCTTGTGTTCTTGGCGATGCAGTTGGATGATGATGGATCTAGCTACCTAGGCACCCAGGTAAGGAGCGACAACGGACTAAAGCGGGTTGTAATGTTGTAGAGTCGTCGTAATGATTTCCAGCTCAACGTTATGCAGACCAGAGTTCGTCAAGTTTCCGCGCATTCGTTTGTCGACGAGGCGGCTCCCAGGGCGCAAGACGGGATATCGAGCTTCAACAGTTGGAGCTCCAGAAGCGGGACGGGAGCAAGACGGGCAATTACGCACGCACTGCAAGGAAGTGGAAGCTTCAGCGCTATCAGGCCTGCCATGTGCCATCACCAACAGTGAGGTTGGGCAACAAACCCCGGCTACCCGGTCGTTCAGCATGTTATCGATAAGGCCTAATCCACCGCCCCACTGCCCGTTCAGGGACAGGCTTGCATCATAACCTCAGCCCCGAAGGTTGCAGACTGCAGAGAGTGCCTGTGACAATTTGAATCGTGTTTCCATCCTCGCCCTCCCATATCACCAACCACAGCAGCCCTTAGTTTTTACATTCTCAAGTTTGAACATTATCCCCAACTCGACTTAAGGGGATTCAGCTAAGCAACACAGATCAAGACCGAGAGCCATGGCATCCATAAGCCCCCAACTCCCTCCCCATCTTCAAAAGCGCAAACGCGACTCCAAAGATGAAGAGTCCGCTTCTCCCCCGACCAAGATCTCGCGACCAGACAACCAAGACGAAATTCCCCTCGACGACGACGACTCCGATGATGGCTTCGATCCTAGCGCACCCCAACCAAACCCCACACACTCTTCATCCAACATTGGCCCATATTTGCCACCGTCGCGACCATCAATAGGCCCTTCCCGACCCGATGAAGAGCGTGTCGCAAAGCCCACCACGCAGCCATCGATCGGCCCTCTCTTCCACCACCACCACCCACAACAACGAACAACGATGAAATTCCCCTCGACGACTCAGATGGCGATGATATCGGCCCTGCCGCCGCGGCACCATCAATAGGTCCAACCATGCCGCCTCCAGCTCCCAAACGTATTTACGGCCCCGCCCCTCCACCCGCCGACCTCTCCGAACGTCCAACCACCGATCCCAATGCCGCCTCAGACTCCGACTCCGATTCAGACGACGGCTACGGCCCCGCCCTCCCCGGATCTCGACCAGGTGCTACCTCCTCGGCTCGTGGGCCCTTCTTCCCTTCCTTCGCCCAGCAACAAGCCGCGGAAGAATCACAAGCCCCCAAGCGCGACGACTGGATGATCGCGCCGCCCACCGACAGCGCCTACCGCGCCCCTGACCCGACGAAGCTCAAGTCTCGCAAGTTCGCTAGCGGCCGCTCTGCCGCTACAGAAAAATCCGGGGGAGTAAGTAGCATATGGACGGAGACGCCCGAAGAGAAAATCAAGCGGTTGGCGGCGGCGGTTCTTGGTCGGGAAGATCCATCCGCCTCGCACGCCACCGCATCTGCCTCTGCCTCGTCAAAGACTAGTAGTAGTAGTAGATCCAAGAACCTAGACGAAGCAAGAGTCCGTTCCTACACGGAACAAACCCGCGGAAGGAGTCTAGTGGAGGAGCACCAGGCTGCCATTGCGGCGGGGAAGAAGAAACTGACTTCGGAGAACTCAACTACGAAGCCCGGAAGGGGGGGTATTAAGTATGGGAAGCAGGATGGGGTGGATGATGAAGATGACCCGAGTAAGCGGGCATTTGATCGGGAGAAGGATATGGCGGTTGGAGGACGGATTAGCCATACGCAGAGGAAGGACCTGTTGAATCGGGCGGCGAATTTTGGGGATCGGTTTCAGTCGGGGAAGTTTCTATGAAGGATCTCGTACAGCGAGGGTTAATAGGCTGTTGATGTCCTCTCGGTGAATTCGAGCCTCATTTTGGATGGTGTGGCTCGCCTCTGGGTGGGTTTGAGAGAGAGACCTCTCGGTATGAGGCGTTGACGGTACATACATTATCATATATCGCGAAGAACAAAGTTGGAGCACGAAAGAAGGTAGAAATGTCTGATTCATCGCATGTTCATTCCCCTGAAGCCGCTAACTTTTGCTCATCGACTCCTCCCTGTATCCCCCGAGTTACCAGATGCGAATGCCCATAAAAGGTACCATGGTCAACTTATAAACAAAATGTCCGCTCAACAATGAGGGAAGGTCTCAAATCATCCAATGTACATGTGCCAAAAAAAATCAAAATTCCATCCCAATAAACTCCATGCTATCCCATCCCATCCCATCCCATCAATAACAACCAAAGCCACACGCGCCGGTCCGTGGAGCCACCTTCCGTCCCATTCCACCTTGTAAGCACCCAGACCCGATACTACTATGCTTCATTGCGCCGCTGGACCAATTCATGCTTCTCGAGCCGCTCGCTTTGCCAGATCTGCAACCATGAGTAATTGTACGATAGACGCTTGTGCAAAGTTGTGATCGATCTGTGACAGCCTTTATCGTACGTGGTCCTCCTAGCTTCGTGCCCTATGCGTGAATCTGACCCAGTAAATAGCTGTGTGATTACCAATAGAGGTTGATAAGGATATTGTAGACCCGAGATCTGAGAAATAACAAGTCGAAATTCGCAATGTAAGCGACCATGTGATACACGATGGAGTAGTCGAGATAACCGCAGTTGAAAAGCACCTAGATAACTATCGGTATTGAAACAAGCTTCGAATAGGGCATCATAGGAACTGTGTCACTCGAACTTAGTTGCCCGCAGGCCGGACTCCCGCTTCGAGATTAGAAGGCGTCACAGTCGGGTTGGCATTTGCGTCCGCGTTTTGCCCTCCGTTGTTACGTCGAAAGTTGGGGAATGCAGCCCTAAGCCCTGCAAACATGCCCCCCGCGCCGCGATTCGAGTCGGTTTGAGTTGAAGAGGCAGGTTGACTGACAGCAACGTTGTCCCGTCTTCGTTCACCGTGGCGCCGCCGAGACCCTCGTTGGTCGTTGTTAGACACCACATACACCGTCCTTGCTGGACGACTTAGGCCGAAGAAAGCATGTCTCGGTCTGTTCGGCATGTTCATGCGGTTGGATCGTGGGTCGTTGGATAAAGTGACATGGATAACGCCAGGTTGGCCATCGACTGGTTCGCCGGCTGGGCGTGGTTTAGGAGTGTAGTAGTCGGCCTTGCACAACGGACAGCATGCTCGCCTGCTGGTCAACCACGGGTCAAGGCATGCCGCGTGGAAAGCATGTCCACAAGTCAATCCACGTACGTCGTCGTCGTCTTCCAAAGTGTCGATGCAAATAGCACAGGTGTCACCAGAGGTGCCTTCGCACTCCGGCGGCAATGCGGCGTCAATCGGATCCTCCTCCTCTTCGCCCTCGTCATGCGAAACCCGGGCTTCCTTCGGTGGCGTCGTTCCCTCTGAGACAGCATGGGTCAAAGGCACAGTGCTGGAGGTGCTCTCCTTGGCTTCGTGTTGTGGGGTCTTGGAGTCCCGGTCAATAGGTTCGACGGTGCTTGTCGTTGGCCGGCCCTCCGTCGACATACGCTCCTTGTTCGGCAGCTCTCGAGAAATAGCGTCCGCGTCATGAATACTATTCGGTCGGCTAGGCGCTGAAACGCCACCACTGGTGGGAAGACCATCCCGCGCTCGGCTCGCAACCCAAGTCTTGTACTTGAGCATGGGGAATTTCTCGTTGACTTCGTCTATTGTCATTAGTTTTTTCTCACGACGGCGTCGGTGCGGCCGAGGCATGGTCTCCATGTTGATCTGGTCGCCCTCCTCCGCCATGCGCATCTGACGAGTTCGAGCATTATATCGAAAGCAGTACTTGACGCCCACAATGATCCTGCACCGCGGGTTAGCTACCCATTTGGCAAAACATGAGACGGCACACAGAAAACCCACCAGAGGTTTGTGAAAACGACGCCGAAGCCCAGTGCCACAAAAAACAAGAGTGGCGACTGGGACCCTCCGTCTTTGTTACCATCCTTTTGATTGTTATTCCCGGATGACGGGTTGGCAGTGGCGGATGGAGAAACAAAAGTGGACGATATTGATGTTGGTGAAGCGGCTACCAGAGTAGAGCTGGCGCTTGTCGGAATTGCTGAGCCCGTTGCTGAGGACGTCGCTATGGCCGTCGCCGATACTACTGCTGAGGTGAGTATCGAAGTGCCAGTCTCGGCGACCTGCCTCGCCACGGCGCGCACGCCTTCCAATATGGCTGGATTAACGTAAACCATTTTGCCGACTGTGGACAGATGAAGTGCCGATGAGATATGAGTGGCGACGAGGTGCGATTTACTGTCGCAGAGTGTCCATCAGGTAGAGATTGAATATCGCACGCAGCCGTCACCAGTCCGTAGAGAAACCTGTTGTGTCCTAGCAGTTTGTCGAAGCCCACAGAGAAAGGAACTGTTTGTCGAGGACAAAAAAAAGAAGGATGAGCGAGGTCGAGGGCAAATGTTGCTAAAGCCTCTCGGAAGGCTTGGAGGTGACTGAAGAACAGAAGCAGACGCAACGTAAGCGGGTAGGACGCCCGAGTGCGAGGGCTGATGTGTGAATGGTTGAATGGAAGCTTGGGGCGTGACAAGCCCGGAAAGTGGAGAAGAGTGACCTGCTGAGCGACAAAGCGATGAACTTGCAGAAGGTGCAAGCACAACGGCGACTCGAGACTGCAGTGTGAGAGCGAGGAGCTGCGAGAAGTGAGAGTGAGCGAGTGGAAATCGTTAAGGCTCTGTAACGCACGGTCGCCAGGCCACAAGCGCTAAAAGTGTTGGTCGTGATTGTCGAAACGGGGGATTCCTGAGATGGATTGTTGCGTACTAGTGCTGAGGTGGTGTCACCATGAAAAGCAGCCGGAAGGGGGAAAAGATACGAATGGAGGGAAGGGAAATCGCTATGGTTGTACAACGTTCAAACTGGGACCGGGTTTGTAAGAGATTTGTGAGAACTGTGAAAAACATGGAACTGCTTTCAGTGAGACTTGAGGACGGGAACGGAACGTGCACGACGAATCCTGGTTTCATTATTCATCCATTTGAACGCATCCTCTTGTCTTCGATCACCGCGGTGTCAATGATAAGACGATTCCACACACTCCTACAGTGACAGTTTGCCCCCCTCACAATCGCTCTCACTCATCGTGGACATGGCACAGCAAAGCCACAGTGACCAGGGCTGGGCAAGGGACACTGGGGGATCGGGGTTGGATGGCTTCCACCCATTGCTTTTTCCCCTCAGTCACAAAGGGCTGCTCTCGTCAGCAAGAAGGGAAGGGGGGTCAAGCCGTCGAGGGTCTTGGACCCCCGGAAGAGACGGACGGGATTGGCGGAGTCTCTGGAAAAGGAAAACAGGGCAAAAAGCCAGCGACGAGTCGGCAAGGGTGGCCTCACCTTCGGATCAGCTTGGCTCGGGCTTGGATTTGATTCAAGATCACAAAAGGCTCCGTTGTTCATCTGTGCTTTCGACGGGATGACATTGACAGGCCCAAGCGATTGAGGCACTGCAATGACTTCGCCAGGGGACGGGATGACGCACTTCGGTCTTTGTCTTTTGACATGCTGCATTCAGTTTTCACTGTCCACGTGGAAGGGCGGGCTACATATCTTCGCATATCGACAGCCATTTTTCAATTGCAAAGTCCATGGAGCTGCTCTGTCTCCAGAGTTTCGCTTGCAGACTCTCCACGCTGCGGTTCTGACCATGTGCCCTGGTGCAGAGTTGCAGACGTGCTAAATTCTGAAATTCTGGGGTACTTTGCAGTTCACCCCTGCCTACCCCAATGTCTTGGCAGCGGCTGCATCTCTTTTTGAGTTTTGTCGGATCTCCTTTCCATCATCTCTGTATCATCCCGTCCGGGCTCCTCAAGGATGGTTGTTCGGACACTTGCCCATTTGCCTCGAAGCATCATCCCCGAGAACACAATCATCAAGTTTCCTTAGAAAGGCAAGATCCATGTTCGGTTACGAAACATGAAGTTTCTGGTTCTATCAAGGTTCCGCATGCCCCAATTGGTCCAGACCACAACGACACGAAGCGGGATCAATTTCCCCCTCTGAACCTCACAATTACACAAGGGCCCTCGCACGGCGTCATGATAAGCGCGAGGATACCCTTGGGATCCCCTACCAGAGGATACTTTTTGCGGCTAGGTGACGTGAAATCTAAACCTGAAACTCTTGGGAAGCCGACCCCATCGCCTAACCCGCGTTAAGATGGTCAAGGACATTTTGAGATGCTCATTTCTTTCGGTTATCTCCGTAGGTAAAATAAGGTTGTCCTGGTCTTGTCGTATTTGAATCAAGATGCGGAAAAAGGCTAAATACAGGCTGACAGCCCTATCACCAAACGAACTGCTCAGTCACATTGATAGTTACTCCGAGCGCCTATTGAGTGGCGCCGGCACCTACCGAGCCTACCTCTCTTGGTCCTTAATAACCATGCTCGCCTTGGTCCGATGCAAAAACACAGTTCGTCGTACCCATATGTAGGACCTCTACGATTGAACACGGACAATGTCTTCGTGGATATCCAGGTGACTAACCTTGAATATAACCTGCTCAACCGTTCCGTTCCGTTCCTTTTCCACAGGGTAGCCTCAAGAACAATCACGCTGTTGGTTCAGCCCACTCGGACCCACGGGGAAGAAAGAGCAGTTAGCAGAAAGCGAGTAAAAAACTTGGAATCATTCCCATCTTTGCGAGCTCGGGACGGGTGTGTGTGGTAGACATAACGAAAAGCATGCTTGTGTCCAAACGTTTCACTCAGTCCATGTTTGCCAAACCAACCTGTGATCGTTAGTTGTCTTTCAAGAACTTTGCCGGGAGAAGTGATTACCGAACTCCAGGTGTCCAAGAAAAGGAAAGAAGAAAATACTAGAGGCCACCAAAGCATGAAGCATTTGATGAGGCCAACGCTCATTGTCGTCTATACACAGGACTGCCCCCAGATCCCCAATCATCAACCCACTGGATCGGATCAGATCACCATGCCCAATCCATCTCGATCTCTCTCTATCTCAACCCCGCGCCCAGGACTCAGGGTGCCCGCTAGAAAATGAGCTAAGCCCAGCCCACTCTTTGACCTTCCGACCCTGTCCTTCGTTTCGGGGTCTGCCTTCTGCGGCAGCTGGGCAGTCATGCAATGAATGGTCTAAGCCTCCCCGCGACGACCAAAGACGCGCGGCTTGGCTGCATCTTTGGTGCTGGCCGGTGGTGCCCGTGGGAAGGGAACAAATCGCGCGAAAGACAGAGGAAGAAGACGAAGACAATGCGGGCTTCTAGAAGTTGATTAATGAAAGACGGGAAAAAAAGAAGGGGAAAAGTCGAAGGTGGGAAGTTGTAGTAAGAATTGCTCGAAAGGGTGAAAAATGCAAAAAGATATTAGATGTGATCCGACTGAGGCTCGATCTCAGGACCTTCAGTGTGTTAGACTGACGTGATAACCAACTACACCATCGGACCAATGGATACTAGTTTGGGGTGGACAAAGGATCTATAAGCCCATCAAATTCGTTGTTTCCTTGGGTTTTGAGGACTATTTGCACTCGTTGTGCAGAAATGGAGAGAAAAGTCTGTGTGGACATAACAGAACTGTACCTCTGCCTATGAGACACATTTGCCGATGACAATGTCAGCGGTCAATCCAAGAAGGGCAGGCATGGAAAACACGACGCTCCCGGAAGCCGACGCACAGCTTTTATGTGCAGTCAGTACCACGGAGTTCACGCGAGGATAACAGCGCTCAAGTGAGGCACGAGCCATACTTGTAAGACTTCACAAATCAAGATAGGTCCGAGTTGCAAGCTCCACAAACCAAATCATTTATCTTCGGAGGTTATATATGTGGCGTACAATGACGTGCCTAACCAGACCTTGACCCTTGTTCGTCATCTGGTTACCGACCGGTCCCTAACGCTCAATTCTCCAAGGTAAAATAGACCTTAACCTCCACCTCATTCGACCAGCCGGCATCGAGACCCATCTCCTTCCAGGCAGTTTCAATGTCAATTTCGAGGACATGGCTACTGGTCTTGCTCACAATTACCGTATGAGGCGGGATGGGCTGGCCTTGAATCGTGGCCATGAATTCGTCTTGAATGGATAGCTCCGGAAGGTGGGAAATGTAGATACCTAAGCGGTAGAATGTTAGTTAGTTTTGCTATTTTATTTTGCGGAGGATGGTTATTACCAAGTACACCCAAGGCCTTCAGCCTGGTGCTAATCAACAATCGTCCGTTTTCGAGCAGGTCGGTGCTGTGGTTCAACATGGCAGCTGCCCCGGCCATCTTTCCCACCAGCCCCAGGCTTGCCACATACACACGACCTCTGCTCTCAGTCTCATAAAGGGACACGGGAAAGACGGAAAGAATATCGTAGCCGCCGTTGTCGAGAGATACCGTCAACAGAGAGGCGGACATGGTCGTCTGAACCGGCGCGGTCACCTCTCCACTCTGGTGAGAGCGTACTACGTACCACATCGATGGGAGGACACCCGAAAATCGGATAAGAGGGACTAATTCTGTCAACGGACGGCCCGATACGTTGAACAGGCCCATGATCGGAGTGCCCGTGACTGCCCTGCCATTGTAAGCGCTGATTTTAAGCAAAGACAAATCATCGTAGTTGACATATTGGTCAAGGCTACGACCCAGCACGCTGGGACGGAAAATGACGGTTCTGCCGCGTGGCGTGACACCAGTCATCTGCTTGATCAAATCGAGGTCGTACTGGCCGGGAACGTCGGTGATGTAGATGGGACCGCCGCTCACACAGCGTGCTGCAGCATGAAAGCCGGCATATGCGCCAGCAGTTTGGAACATGTCCCAATCGGGGAGGATGTTGAGGTGCTGGGTGAGCAAGCTGTTGTGGGCATTTGCCCAGACGTGCCAGGGGTGAGAAGATGGGACTTCGGGGAAAAAGTCATCCGAGTTCCTGCAGAGCATCGTGGGCCGTCCACGGGGAAGTTGTGTATGGAAGATGATCTGCGGAGACAGGGACATGCAAGAGATGGCTCTGCCGCTGAAGTGCCGGAGTGATGCGAGCAGCCAGTTGTCCAGGTACGGTTGGATGAGCTCGCGCCGAACCTTTGGCGATACCCATGTGTCGACCATGAACTGTCCATCAGTCTTGACTCCTGCCACACCACTCTCAGACAGAAAGCGATAGAAGTCATCGTAGAACTTGTGGACATCCTCCTGCGCAATGACTGTCATCTTGCCGGCAAGGGGGATGTTCTTACG